AAAAGGAAAGATGACTGTGAAGGGAGAAGCAACCCATAGCAGTACCCTCAAGTCCTGAGACCGAAGCAGACACCTCAACCTACTCTTAGCCAGTAATCTCTAAATTTAGGCAGTTACTTCTATTTTGAAAATGGTCTTAGTGTGGCCCAGGCTGGCCTCCAATTCATGGTGTAGTGGACGATAAAGATGGCTTTAAGTTCCAGATCCTCCTGTGGTGCCTCCCAAGTGTTGGAATCACAAGCCTGTACTTCCACGCATGGTTTAAAACTCGGATAAGGCAAGCACTCCATTCTTTGTGGGTTCATTTCTTGTCTCCTCCCCAAAAGCCTCCTTTCCTTTAAGACAGAACTGTGATTTTTTTTTTTTAGTTTTGCTGTTGTAATTGAGGATATTGTGATAGGCTGAGGGGGCAGATATGATTTTATATAAATAGTACAAAAATAAAGCTAACACCAATTAAAACTAGGCTTCATTATAAAAATGAAAGCTCACTGGAAAATAGCTGCTGACCAAAGCCATTGAAAATTGGGAAAAATTACAAAAACAGACATGGTAAAAACAGATCGCATATTAAAGAATCATCTAATTGCTTCGGAGAAGACTGGCACCTCCTCAAGCATCAATCAGTAAGTGGTTCTAAATCTAGGTCAGATATGAAACCCCATTTCCCCCGGCTTCATAGTATTGTCCCAGTTAGCTTGCTAGCAGGGGGTGATGTGACATGGTCTGCCAGTGAACTGGAAGGAGGATGCCAAGGGGTTCTGGGAAAGAGGTTTTACTCTGCTGAAACCGAGCTCTAAATGCACCCCTTAGGCCTTTGGGCAGGGTACTGTGCTGTTTCTTTATCATTTGTGATGCCAGAATGAGAGGAAAGGTACTTGAAGCTTCTGGCAGCCATCTGGGGTCCAGGCGGTGAGCGTAAGCGTGGAAAGTCCACCGGAAAAGTAGGGGAGCCAGGTGAGGCAGCCCGATGTCACCCTGTGCTTCCAGCCCAGGCCCTGGCCCCTCATATCAGAAAGGCTGTGGTGATGCTTCGAATGTCCTGTTGCTGCTGATGGTCACACTGGACAGGCAAACAGCCATCCAGCATTTTGTTTGTATTCGTTTTTTTTTCTTTTCTAAATTAAGCTTTGTTTTCCACATTCAGACGGTATTAATTGCTCATGCTTCAGCTGTTTGTCATATTCTTGCTTTTGCTGCTTTTTTTTTTTGCTGACAGGGTGGGAGATGTAGACGGTGTGTGTGGGTGTGTGGTGGTGTGTGTAAAAAGAGACACAGAGAGGGGACAGAAGAGAAGAGGGAGACAGGAAAAGTCCTGTCTGCCCCAGGGGAACAGCAGGAAAGAGAGAAGTAGGAAAGAGAACAGAAGTGGGTGGGGGTCTGTCTTTTAAAAGGGTCCCTTGCATCTCTGCAGACTAGGACTCACGGAACCCTGGGCTGACCAGGGTACTGCCTGAGTGCATTCTGTCAGAAGACAGGGGCAGGCCAGCATAATGCCTGAGTCCTTACAGGCCCTGCCTAGTTTGCATCTCTGCAGACTAGGACTCATGGAACCCTGGGCTGACCAGGGTACTGCCCGAGTGCATTCTGTCAGGAGACAGGGGCAGGCCAGCATAATGCCTGAGTCCTTACAGGCCCTGCCTAGAATAAAGAAACAGAAGCGCTTCAGCCTGGGTTGACGCAGAGCTTCTGTGTGCAGAACTTCCTTTTCCGTAACACTGTGAGCATTGTGGAGCCCACCGGAGGAGGATCGCAAGGTTAACAGTTAATGTCCCTGATACTTATGTGTGTGTCCTATACTCACCCCCCTCTTTTGAGAGCATTGAGTACATAATGCTATATCTTAGGTACACTTCTGGGCTCTAGGAATACAAACATGAAAAAATATATATCCCTGACATCAAAGAACTTCCTCTCCATTGAGGAGATGAACATAGGTTATTAGACGTCAGAACTCTAGATTTGTGTCCTAGATGGAGTAAAGCCAGGATGGATAGTGGGTGGGAGGCAAATCATGGGAAGGAGATAAGATTAGGACGGCAAGGTAGATGTTGAGAAACCTAGAAGAGGCCACAGGAGGATCGATGCCCAGGTTGTCTCTGGAAAGTGAAGCTGTTGTGGATTGGCTCACTTTGGCTCCATGAGTGCCTCATTTGGAGACTCTTTTCAAATCACTGAGCAGGTCTCAAGTTTGTAGTCACTAATAAAGAAGATGAGCATATCTAAGTGATGAAATGGAATTGATTTTTAAAAATACTTCTATAAAAGCAAGGAAAAAGAAGGCAACATAGCGAAATTGGCATTCTATTTGAGAACTGATGGATCAGTATCAAGTTTGAGGGCCATGGAGAGGACTCACTGAGGAAGAGTGCTTGCTTGTGCAAGCATAAGGACATGAATTCAAATCCGGATGACATATAAACAGCCAGGCATGGCTGTGCAATTTCAGTGCTGTGTGGAGGCAAAGACAGAATTGCTGGGGCTTGCTGGCACCTAGCTCCAGGTGCAGGGAAAGACCCTGTTTCAAAGGAGTAAGGCAGAGAGAAACAGAGCAGGACATGGATGTCCTGTGTATGTTCAACAGAAACACCTCTACCACCACGGCTGCTGTGTGTAATTGCAAGTAATTGCAGTTCTCAGCGGATTCCCCAGGCACTCACTACTTTGACTCTAACTTGGCTTTTGGTGTGCTTCGTTCTTGAAAATAGTCACCCACAAATGCTCGTTAAGTGAAAACACACATAATGATTGTTAAGTCAAGGCCGTTGCTCTGGGGAAGACAGGACCTATGAAAAATTAGTAAAGGGACATGAGCAAATTCTTTAACTTGGATGCCAGTTTGCAGCTCTACAAATTCTATTGAAAACTGGCAGGTGGCTTATTTATGTCGACTGAAGACATAAGAGTGAGAAATATATCAAAATATCATTTTTCCAGACATTTTGATATATCTGTTTTCAAATTCTTACGCATAAAGTCCAAAAGCATGCTTCATGTTTTCCACTGTCCCCATAATGTGTTTAGCCAATTTTTGGAAATGCTGTTTGAGAACATTGGTTCTTCATGCCATCAACCCTGAAGCAGAATGAAATAGGCTGGCTATCTCCAGTGCCTCCACAGGGGCTCCCTAAGTGGTCGCCATGCCCACTTGAAGAGGGATGGTGGTGGCCAAAGGGAGCAAACTGAAGTAGATATTCCAGGCTTTCACCCAGCTTTTAATTGTTTGTGGACCTCAGTGAGCGGTCATTGACTTCTTGATAAAAGCAACTTCTAAGAGGCTGATCCCCTTCTTGTTAGTCATCCCAGGTCTCTTCATTCCAATTCTTTGTCATTGAAAGAGTATGGTTAGGACCACTCTAGCTTGTGTAGTTGGGAGGAGGCAGGTCACATGACTAATTTTGACTGCTGAGTCCTCTTCTTTGGACTAGGATGGGAAAATAGAGCTTCCTGAGTCTAACATTTTATCACTGGGGGTGTGAAAATTCTCTGCCCAACAGACAAATGAAATCCCATGGTAACACACATGATTTCTGTGTAACTGGCAGTGTGTTATATGGTGATGGGAAAACGTTGGCTGACAGAGAAGACAAAGATGAATCCTGGTGATTGACAGCACTTGTGCTTCTTATGTACCTGCATCCCTGTAGAGCTTAGTTAGAACCTTCAGATTAGCCAGCCGAGAGCCCCGTGAAAGATGTCTTAAACTTGAGCATGTGCAGTGGTGGCATTTGGTTACAAATGACTATAGCAGAGCAGTTTACACCATGGAGACCTGTTGAGGTAAGTGCCAGGACACACACAGTGTGCTTTTTCTCATGAACTTCAGTTTCCTTTAGTTCACTAAAATCTATTTGAGGAAATAATCTTTATTCATGTATGTGCCTATGAGGAGTATGTGTGTGTGTATGTGTATGGAGTGTGTGTATGTATGTGTGTGTGTGTGTGTGTGTGTGGAGTGTGTATGGAGTGTGTGTATGTGTGAGTGTGTGTCTGTGTGTAGTGTGTATGTGTATGGAGTGTGTGTGTGTCTGTGTGTAGTGTGTATGTGTATGGAGTGTGTGTATGTGTGAGTGTGTGTCTGTGTGTAGTGTGTATGTGTATGGAGAGTGTGTGTGCTGTGAGGAGTGTGTATGTGTATGGAGTGTGTGTATGTGTGAGTGTGTGTCTGTGTGTAGTGTGTATGTGTATGGTGTGTGTGTGTGTCTGTGTGTCTGTGTGTAGTGTGTATGTGTATGGAGAGTGTGTGTGTGTGTGTGTGTGTGTGTGTGTGTGTGTGTGTTCTCATATATTTCTATTGATGCTTTTGTGGACATGCTCAGGTGCACATGCAGGTAGAGGCCAGAGGCTGTCATCCATTCATTTTCTTGAGCATTCTCTATTTACTGAGGCAGACTCTCTTGCTGGAACCAGAGCACACTGATTCCCGTCTATCTTGCCAGTCTTCCTCTATCTCTGTCTCCCAAGTGCAGAGATTATAGACAGGCCACTGGCACTGGCCAGCTTTTTATGTGAGTGCCAGGAATCTGAACTTCAGTCTCATGCTTGCACAGGAAGCATTTTTTTTAATGCACTGAGCCATCTCCCCAACCCAGGAAAACAATTTTTACTCTCCTGTCCTAAAGAGTCCGTTAAGAATGGTAACACTTGTCTCTCTATGCTAACCTTTCCCTTTTCAGAGGAAGGAGCCCTGCAGGAAAGTCACATGTGGAACAGGCACCAGGAACATTTTTCAACCTTCTGCTTGGCAACTATTCTATATTTTAAAACCTCAAATTGTTCATTGCTGCCAGATGAGTTTTAGAAAGCAAAGGAGGTTGGTGTAGCTGCCTCATAAAGGCCCTTGGGAGATTCTTTTGAACACAGACTTTAAGACTGAACCCTTAATGTGTCCGTTTACCACATCTCCTGTTTTCCATCACTGTTTTGGGGTTTTGTTCAGAGAAAACATTAACATAGTTCTGTATTTAGTTCTAGATGAATTAAAACAAGAGCAACATTACCAAACCACTTTGTTGACTGGAACACAGGGGAGAGGGCTGTGGCCAGAATGCCGTGTGACACCCTTCACTGAGGGGGAGAGAAGATCGTGTCTGTAAAAGACAGCAATGAATCAGAGTAATTCTGAGGACAGAACAATGCTCTACACTGCTAATGAACAGCTGATGAGATCACAGAACCAAGTTTCAATGTGACAATCACAACAGACTGTTTATTCATAGTTTGTCCTCACTGCTATAGGAATGAATGGGTAGATATTTTTCTCCATCCCAGGAAGTCTCTAGCTAAGCATTTTCACTCCTTCGTGTAGGAGTGTCAGGGACCTGGAAACCCATTCCATGCCACCAGGCTCATGAGTGATGGGTCGTTAGGGTGACAGTGGTGGTAGGATGGTCACATGGGCCCCAACAGGGAGAGGTAGAGGATCCTATCTTACAGAGGACAGGCCCTGGTGGTGGAAGGTGAATTTAGAGCAATTCCTGGAGAGACAGTGTACATAAAGTTGCAAAGTCCACACAGGGAGCTTACCAATAGCAGAGTAGGAAAAGATTTAACATTAAGGACTTAGACCTGATGTTTAAAAAAAAATATTGGCTTTTTCTTCTGAAAGCAATGAGGTTTGGATTAGGGGAGCAATCAGCAGAATGAGATGAGAGATGAAGTATGTTAACATTTACACAGAGACTTAACCTCAAATGAAATGGCCCTCAACCAGTGAGAAATTGTGTTAGGAAGTAGGGAGCCAAACTTCCTCACCCCTTACCCAGATGATTTTAGATGTGAGTCAGAAAACTCTCCCAGGGTCTCCAGCAGGTTGGTGCCCCGGTTTCCTACAGAGGTAATCTAATCATTTAACTCCCTTGCTGGCTTTACCCTTCCTTCTATCAGATCCCTCATTTGTTGTGAATCTCCCTGGCATAAATCATTTCATCATGTAAGTTGTTTCCACACAAATGCATGCCCCAGGGTCCTCTTTTGGTGGGAGGGAACACAAATCCCTATTGCTGGTTGGACTTAATGATCATTTCGGGATAGACAGCCCTATCACAGTACCTACAAAGGAGTCATTTATGACATTTTTGGGTCCATTACTTTGCACAAAGGTGACAACTCCAAAGAAGAAACATGAATAAATGACAAAAAGAGAAGGTGACAGTTGTGTATATAGGTGGCCCTCTTTTGGGGATAAAATAGTACAATGGTGCTTATTTCCTAATATATGACTCTCCTTGGATACTAAATGTGTCTGTCAGGGAAAAATAATGTCATACTATTAAGAATTAGTAATACATGCTTTCAGATGACATTAGCCTATTAATTCTAATTTTATCTTAGTTGAACACAAATGCTGTTCAGTGTTTAGATGATTTATCAAGATATGAACTGAAGCTTGCCAAATCCCTAGCTGAAGTCATAAATAATTTCAACATCTTTTGTTTCACATTTGCTGTTTAAAGGGCCATAATATTGGCAAATGTATCATTGTTAGACTTTCTTATATTTTAAGCATGAAGTCTACTCCTTTAAAAAAGCAGCTTAAGTCACGGCTTTCTTTAAAATCGTAGACCGATGTCTACCTGCATCTGTAGCTTTTCTGGGCAGAGTAAGGGTCCTACAGGAATTGATGCCCAAAATCTTGGCTTTAAGATGGTTTGTCTCTTCCAAAATCCATGTTGAAATTTGGTTCCCAGGGTAAAATGTGGAGAGGTGCTGAGATGTTTATGAGGTGTTTGGGTCTCATGGGGCTCTATCTTCCTTAAAGGATTAATGCTAATCTTGCAGGAGGAAGTTACTTCTTGTGGGGAAAATGCTGGTTATCATGAGAATAGGAGCTATGAAATAAGCAGAGCTTCCTCTGGTCTCTGTGCTCTTGCTCCTGACATGATCCTTTCTGCCTTTCTGCAGGATGTGGCCCTTACCAGATGGCAACCAGTTGCCAGTGTGGTGCTCTTAGACTTCTCAGCCTCTAGGACGGTGAACCAAGATAAATTTCCTTTATGTATCACCCAGTTGATATTTTGCTATTTTGCAATAGCAATGGCAAACAGACAGAGACACATGTCATCTTTCAGAAAGAAGAGTTGACAGACAGTTGGTTGAAGACATTCTCCTCTATATCAGCCCTAGATTTCCACTGATTTCTAAGCTTTGTTCAAACAAGTACCCTAACTGTAATTACAATCATAGTTAAATAATGGTCCGTGTACAAACACAAAACTCTAGAATATACCAACACATTGCCACTATTTCCATTACGTTAAAGCATCAGGATTCTGAGTAGGTAACAGGCAAGCCATGGTTGCACAACTAACCAGAATTCTCAGGTTATTGATCAGCTTTGTTGGAGGGTGGGGGGCACTGATAAGTTGAGGGAAACTCTTGTCAACACAAACCCCAAACTACCAAATGTGAGACAATATATAGAAGATTAGAGTCCCTTGAAGAGCCCACTTATTAGCACAAAGGGATACTTCGCTGAAATTACTTGACACTATAACTCCACAGAAGCATAGCATGAAAGGTGTGGTGGGACCACTAACAAAGTCAGTGGCTCTGAGCCAATCTATATAACCTCATCCAGAAATCTCAGTCATTGCAGTGAAGAGATAGTACTGGTCACAGAGATGCTCAAAAGGAGGGGCACTGAGAAATTGCTAGGAGACTCTTCTGTTGGCATTACAGTGAATAGGCTTTTCCAGGGAACTGATTGATCATCACTCTGGTTTCAAAATAACTGCCTGAGAATGATGACTTCACTGGGTGTTGAAAACCTGAGAAGATGACAACACCCACCAACAAATCATTACAGGGAAGTAAGGAATGAGCACATTGTCACCACCATCAGGATACACAGTAGTACCAAGCTTGATGAAACACGGCAAGTGTTGAATTATTGTGAACCAAGTAAGCTATCAACACATCTCTCTACTTACATCGTTCTTCCAATGAACTTTTCTCCTGTATTTTATACTTCCAATGATGTATCCATGCTTCTAGTGGTAACACACACACACACACACACACACACACACACACACACACACAGAGAGAGAGAGAGAGAGAGAGAGAGAGAGAGAGAGAGAGAGAGATTAAAAATAATTTCATAAAATGCAATCCCATTTTGGTCTGATCTTTTGATGCATAATTATTTTGAGATTCATCCATGTTGCCAAGTGGCCAATAGCTCCTTTTCATGGCTAAGTAGAGTTCTATTGTATGGGTATGTCATCACTTATTATCCACTCACCACCCCTGACGGCCATTCCGGTTATTTTTCTGGTTATTGTCTATTGCAAACAAAGCTACTGGAACACTTAGACAAAGATTTGTGGAGACACACGCTTTTACTTCTTTCACATAAGTATGTAGGAATGCATGGAGTGTACGTTCAACTTTTAAAGGCACGGCCATGCTGTTTCCCAGGGAGACTGTATCACTGTAAACATCCCCCAGTAGCATCCAACTCCATCACACCCTCAGCAGTGCCTGCTCTGGTCAGCCTTTAAACTGTAGCTGTTTTAACAAGCACACAGTGATTTACTGTAATGTTAATTTCCATGTGCATAATGCTTAGTAATATCTAACACCTTTTCACATTCCCATTTGAAATATTTTATATATATATATATATATGTATACACACACACACATATATATATATATATAATGTCTCTCTCTCTCTCTCTCTCTCTCTCTCTCTCTCCTTCTCTATGTAGCCCTGATTGTCCTGAAACTCGCTTTATAGACCAAGTTAGCCTCACACTCAGAAATCTGCCTGCTTCTGCCTCCCCAATGCTGGGATTAAAGGCATGCACCACCACTGCCTGGTGATATTTTCAATTTAAAAATAAATAAAAGATAGAAGCTATAATCAGAAGGCCTTATTTGGGCCTTGCTGTGTTTGTGTGCTCTGATACAAACTCTTCAGCAGGAGTCATTAACACTGCTGATGAGAATGGGGTACTGAAAAGCACTAAGCAAATTCCATCATGTAACATCAGAAACTTGGGGTGCTGTGCCTTAACTGGTAAATCATGTCTGATTGAGATAAGTTTACTCTTGAGTGATGTAAAGATAGCTTGAGACTTAATAGCTCCTACTTTGCTATGCAGCTAAAAGGATTGATGACACAAAATTCTAATCCCAGTGCTTCAAGGACAGAGGCATGAAGGCCATGCCAGTCCACCCAGTTTAGGTTGTAGAGTAAAACCCTGTCTCAGAAAGCCCAAATGAGTAACAGTGAAGGTCAGGGGCAGGCGTGGTAGATGCCAGCTACTTCTTTTTCTCTTAACCAACTTTTATCATCACTAACAGTATTAGGGTTTTACTGCTGTGAAGAGACACCATGGCCATGGCAACTCTTATAAGAAAGAGATTTAATCAAGGGGGCTCATTTACAGTTTCAGAGGTTCAGTCCATTATCATCATGGCAAACAGCATGGTGGCATGCAGGCACATATAGTGCTGGAGGAATAGCTGAGAGTCCTACACCTTGCAGGCAACAGGAAGTCTACTGAGACATAGGGCAGGATCCAGATCATAGGAAACCTCAAAGCCTGGCCCCACAGTGACACACTTTCTCCAACAAGGTCATACCCACTCCAAGAAAAACCACACCTCCTAATAGTGACACTCTCTATGCGACTATGAGGGCCAGTTACATTCAGAATACCACACTAACAATGTATATTTTATTTTTTTTGAAAGTCTTGAAAATACAAGTATCCTAATAGAATTTTTTCCTCAGTAAAGCTGAGCTTTTTTTCTTACAAAGAAAACTTAATTATCAGAGTTTCAATATGACTAAATCAGATAAATATGGAAGACAGCCCTTTATTAATTAACTGACTAACCTGTTAGGGTTCTCAACATATCACAGCTCCAAGAATAAGGCTGCCAAGTTCTGAAAGTGAAAACAAAAGGTGTGAGGTTCCTTCTCTACAGCATTTGAGATACATTCAAAAATGTCTGCTGTGTTTTTGAAATTCAAATTTAATTTGACAGTCTGTATTACCAAGCAACCTTACCCAAGGAATACTGGGACTCACAGAAATTGCTGGGCGGAAGCACTGTAGGGGAAGAGGGCTGGAAGGCTTTTGTTTACTTATCCCGGTGTAGGGGGCCCAGAGTTGACCTCAAGATGTTGCCATGGTGTGGTCCTGCCGTCACAGTACTCAGGATTTGAAATGGACAGTTACAACAAATGACTTAAATACAATCGTGACCACCAGAAATGAAGGAAGTGTGCACAGTTGTTCCTATGGCTCAGGGTAGTGCTGTGGGCAGTGCTGTGATTTCATGTTTGTTGTTCACCTGTTACTCTTGCACTAAAGTTCCTGAAAACACAACATGGCTTTTAGTGTTATTGTGTGTAACATGAGGTTTTCTCTGGCCCAGCTAGGTCCCGCTACCCTTCTCTGGCCAAAAGAAAACATGCAGATGCTATATTAGTTACAAATACTGTTGGCCTTTAGCTAAGGTTTCTTATTTGCTAGCTAAGTCTTGATTATTAACCCAATTCTAATAATGTAAGTATTTCCACGTGGCTTTATCTTACTGGACATAAGGTCCCGGGCCTCTTACTCCGTTGGGGTCTACATCGCATCTGCTCAGCATCTCCGCAGAGAAGAGAAAAGGAAAAGAGAGTGATTTCCTGTTTGTTCTTGTTTATATACTGTTACTGCCTGCTACATCACTTCCTGCCTGGATCACAAGACTTCTCTTTACTACATTTCCCAGAATTCCCCTTGTCTCTTAGTCCCACCTATCTTGATTCCTTATTGGCCAACAGTGCTTTATTCATCAACCAATAAGAGAAACATATACAGAAGACTTCCCCCATCAATTGTGGAGAAATGTGTAGATAGGCAGTGGCAGTGGGGTATAACTTAATGAGACTCCATTTGCCCAACACCCAAAATAAAAAACAACCAACTCATGATCTTTCTCAGAAATTTTACCAATATTCCACTCTTTAACTCTCCCCCAGTTATTCTCAGGCCAATTCAACACACAATCAATTTCAGCTCTTAAATATTTCAGTCCTCATCTTTCTTTAAATATAACCACAACAGCCACATCACATATACTTCAAAATCAACAGTAATTCCCACTCTCCAGAAAGCATTTAGTAAAGAAAAAATATTACATGGAACAAAAATGACCTCACAGGATTTTAGCTAACACAAACCCTTCTGGCATTAATTAAACACCAAAAGCAAATTTCAACACCATTTGGGTGCCACTTAAGAGGAGCCAAATAATCCAATAGGGAATGGAAATATATTGCCATTTTTTAAAAGAAAGTATCAATATTGTACATTCATTCATTTGTGGTTCCTACAGCTGTTTATTGACCATGTGTCTTGCCAAGGATACAAAGATCAATAGGCTAGGTTGGCTGGCCAGTGGGCCTCAGGGCTCCTCCTGTCTTCACTTCCCCACAGTGGGATCACAGTCATGTGCAAGTGTCTTCACACTCTCAAGGCATATACTTTACCCCCTGAGCCCCACACCCAACCTATGACATAATCATAAATGAAAATAATATAGTGTAAGAAGACAGTCCTCCTTGTCCTTGAGGAACAAGATGGTTTACACATCTTTGAATTTAACCTCGTGTGAAATCATCTATAAATAAAGGTGGGGATTGAACTGTCCATTGGGGAAAAATAATACAAAGGGCCAAGGGGGTGGCTTGGTGGTAGAACACTTGCCTATCTCTAGATTCAAATCCTACCACAGCTCAAAACAAACATACAAACAAAAAACAAGAATATGGAAGAATTTATAGGCAGTAGAGGGCTGTTTCTGAAGGAGCCAACATGAACATATACAACAAAATCACCTGCTATTACTTTTAAAAATTATTGATGTGTATGAGTGTTTGACTGCATGCATGTTGGTGTACTGTGTGCATGCCTAATGCTCACAGAGGCAAGAAAAGGGTATCAGATCCCTTGGAACTAGATTTTTAGACAGTTGTGAGCCTCTGTGTGAATGTTGGAAACTGTGACAACAGCCAGTGTTCTGTTGCTGGCAGTTTTCTTTTGTTCTGCCATTGCTTCAGCACCAAAGAAACACATGGATGCTATATTAGTTATAAAACTGTTGGCTGGTGACTAGGGTTTCTTATTGGCTAGCTCTGTCTTAATTATTAACCCATTTCTATTAATTTAAGTATTTCTTCATGGTCTTATGTTACCGGAGAAGGGTCCAGACCTGTTACTCCTTTGGCGGCCTACATGGCAACCATTCTGGTGGGTGCTCTCTGCCTACCTTTCCCAGAATTCTCCTCATCCTAGTCCTGCCTATCTTCCTGCCTCATTGTCCAGACAGTGTTTATTTCATCAACCAATAATAGAAAACATATATGCAGAAGGACTTCCCCCACCAACGTTCTTCACTGTTGTGCCATTTCTTAAGCCCCTAAATTATAAACCTAGTGATAATTCACTAATCAATCAAGAGTAAAGATGAGAGCTTCCCCTATCTTTGTGAACCTCTTATCCTAGCCCATGATGCTTGGCAAAGTTCTGGGTGCACAGTGACAGTCAATCAACATCTAATGAAGAAGAGAAAAATTCACTTTTACTCAGTTTCATCATAAAACTCTCTTCATACACAACACCATTTCCATATTCAAAAGTCATGTCACAGTACAGGGAAGGGAACTCAGGAGGCAGAGTGTGATACTTACACATGCCTATGATTCCAGTGTGTTTAAGCAGGGACTGGAGAAGCCCTGGGGCCCACTGGCTAGCTAACCTAGACTATATGGTGAGTTCCAGGCCAGTGAGAGACATTGAAAATAAAGGATACCAGAGATTTCCCTCCAACCTCCACAGGTGTGGGCTCATTCCATAGATTATGACACGGAACCCCTGCCACCTCCAGAAAGAAGTGAGTATTGAATTATTTTCCACAGAGTGGGTGTACAGAATATTTTGGTGGGGGAAGATTTTGCTTTCTTAGGCTCTGGTTCCTTTCATACAGCTAAGCAGTTCATTGGAGTGTGACTCCTGACCATATTTACTAGTCAAAAAGACCAAACCATCTGTGGCTTTGCAGTTGTCCTGCTCTTCCTGATGGCCTTTTAATGAACATAGATGTGATTTAGTTTTGATCATTTTGTCTGGAAATCAATCCCATGGTGAGGGTTTGCTAACCACCTGCAACTTGTAACTAGTTGCATCTGAAAGGGTTTCCCTGGAGTGTGTGAGGGTTGCAGGAGATTGGATGAGACAGTGAGTTAAAATGTAAATAACTCCCTGCAACCATGACATGGGCTGAATGCTCAACATTCGTCATGTACTTGTATGAAAATGTCCATATGTGACACACAGTACTGTGAATATACACAATGAAAAACTTCTAAATGAATTTAAGAAAAACAATTTTTTTAAAAGGAGAATCCAAACCACAGCAGGGAAAGTCTGCGTGTTTCCCAGCTGCCCCACAGAGCCATAAATGTCCATGGGGTTACTTTCCATATTGCTGTGTTTATTTATATAGGCTCGAATAGACCCTTTTAAAGGATTAACTTAGTGTGGCTGTCGCAGACAGCTAGTTTACACCAAGTCCTTCTTGGCATGACTTGAAAGCAAACGGTAAGTGGTGTAAACAACTGTATATGAGTATAGGCTGCCAGATAATGGACATCTGGAGAACAAACAAAACTTATTAAACAGACAACAAATAGCTGAGGTAAATATCAAATTTTTGAGCTGCACAAAGCATGGAGCTGGGTCTCCTCAAAACCTTATTAACATGGCACAGCTGGATTAAAATGAAAAGAGCCATTTAAACATTAAAGGGGGGAGGGAATCTTCAAGTTAGAAAGTCTGGATTTTGTTCCTGTCTCTGTCACTAATTCACTAAGTGACATTGATCTTGTCTCTGATTTGCCTGTGTTTTCCCGAAAGCAGAAGGGATTTCAGGCTATTCATGAGCGCATAGAACAGTTGCCAGATGCCTCTCAGGACAGGATCAAAAGAAAACCGTTCTCTGGTCATGTCATGTCCCTCTTATCCTGTGGTCTCCAAAACCTAGTGTTCCCTCAAAATAGACTTGGGGAGGGACAAAAAATGATGAAGGTTCTGTGAAGTCAAAATCAGGCCAAGCCAGGCATGGGAGTGCACACCCACAAACCCCACCACGTGGGAGGCTTGCTGTGGTAGATCTTGAGTTCTGGAAGAACCAGAGTTACATAGCAAGACACTGCCAAAGAGGGAAAGAGATGTGAAGGAAGGAACAGAGGGAGGGAAGGAGCGAGGAAGGGAGGGAGGGAGGGAGCAGGAGGAGAGGAGAGGAGAAAGAAGGAAAACTAAAGAAAGACAGGGAGAGTGAAGAAGGGAAAAAAGTTAGAGACTGCCCGAATAAGTTTTCCAGACCAATCTTGAATTTACGTACTCCTGACTCAGCCTCCTGAGTAGCAGAACTTACAGGCACGTGCCACTGTCCCGGGCTTCTCTGATGACTTTTTTTAGTTATTCTTTTCTTGATCTCCCTCCCTTTCCTCTAACTCTTCCTCCCTCTCTTTCTTTCTCTCTTTCCTTCTTTCTTGTCAGGGTCTCATTTAGCCCAGGCTGATCTTGAACTCATTACTTAGCTAAGGATGACCTTGGACTTTGAACCTCCTCCTTCCACCTCCCAAGTGCTGACATCATAGACATGCGCCATCATACTCAGTTCACAGGGTGCTGGCAACTGATTTAGCACCTCAGACATTCTAGAAAGGCACTCTGCCAGAACTGAGCTACATCCCTGTCCCTCAGAAACTGGCATCTGACTTGACTACTTCATTCAGCATTGTGATTTTCATAAAATGCCTTCTGTGTTGTGTACTAGAGAGAGAGAGGGGGGGAGAGAGAAAGGAGAGAGAGAGAGAGAGAGAGAGAGAGAGAGAGAATATCTATTACAGTGACTTACAGACTGTGATCTGGATAGTCAACGATGGCTGTCTCTGGACAGAAGAACCTAGTGGTCGCCCAGTCTCAGCTCTTCTTCGGTATATGTTGGAGTCCTGAAGAAGTGGACTTTAATGTCAGGGAAGGAAAGCCTCTGCAGCAGGATAAACGAACTTTCCAGTGAGAGTGAGAGCAAGCAGGCTTCCTTCTTCTGTGTCCTTTGTGCTGGCCGCCACCAGAAGGCATGGCCCAGACTTAGGGTGGGTCTTCCCACCTGTAAGTGATCCAATCAAGAAAAATCCCTCACAGGTGTGGCCAACTGCTTGCATTGTAGTTCATTCCAGATGTGGTCAAACTGACAACTAAGATTAACCCTCTGTGATGGCTGATTGAGATTGGCAAGATCTAGGATTACTGATGAGACAACAGGACTCCATTCAGCCCACAGCAGATAAGCTGTTGGGGTTAGTTGAGTGGGACGACCTACTTAGACTGTGGGCGGCGCCGTCCCACAGGATACTGAGAGCTGCCTTTTATCTCCAGGCTCTGGGTTCCATGTTTTGAGTGACTCCCAGGGTGCATAATACTCCTAAGGTTGTTTGGATCTTTTACTTTTGTTTTAATTTTTGAAATTATGATTACAGCATTTTCCTCCTTTCAAATTCAACCATATACCCCTCCCTACTCTCTTTCAAATTCATGGCCTGTCATTTTTAAAATTGCAATTATATATGCATGTA